TAAAAAAAAAAATGCAAACATTCGAAAAAATGACAAAACATCAATCGAAAAAGTGACAAACCATTCAATTACAACTTTTCTACTCACAAAATCGTACAAACAATTATAACCCAACTTTCAATTCCAAAAGAAGATAAATCACACAAACTTATCTTCTAAATAATTATGTAAGAATTGAATTATTGTACCACCAAAATCATACCACAAATCCTAATTTGAACTTTACAATGAAAAGGAACCATTTCACGTGGTTATCAATTGAAGCAATTGATTGATGATCCACTGTTATTCCATCATCAATTGAAAATCCTCTCAACAAATTAAGCATTTGGAGCAGCATAGATACATCAAATTTCTTAGACCCGAATTTATCCCACAACGCCTGAACTTCTAGCACAAATTCGTTAAGTTTGGGTGGAAATTGATCTTAACCCATGGTATGGTTGTGTGCGCCAGAGGATGAGGAAGAATACCAATGTGGTCCGCGACCATGGGTACGCCGGATGGAGGAAGAATCACCATTATTCGTGGGCCGCTCTATGACAGTTGCGACTAGGCAGCTGGATGGATGGTTGGGACAAATTGTGACCTTGATACTGAGCACGAGCCATCGTCCATCGACTGGTGTAGGTCGACGTCATGGTTATGGCCGGAAGTTGTGATTCCGGCAGAATAAAACTTTTCAAGCAGCGATTTTTTAGCTGTGATTTCTTCCAATTCTGTGGGTGTTATTGCTTGCTATTGGGTTGTAATGGAAGAAGACGTTAAGGGCTTTCCATCAGTACATATATCCGGTGGTTTGGGTGGTCAATCGCTGCCCAAAAAAGAGGCCACAAGTGGTTGCTAGAAAGGGCAAAAATCACCCTTTAGGTAGAAAGAAAATTGTAGGCGATTTTGAGTTTTGGGGATTTGTTTTAGTTTAGGGCGTAATTAATACGGGAGTTACGTGCTGTTTAATTAATTTAAGGTATTAATCTAATTGGGTCAACTTTTAGAATATTAGGCCTAATTTTCCCTGATGAATTTCCACTTCCTACAAGCCTAGTGCAAGCTCTGAGCATTGGGCCTTCTAAAAACAAGGCCTCTTGTGTTGCATCCCATTTATAGATGAACAAAGATACTTCAAACCTGCCAAACTGAATTGAAATCGCGATTTTGAAATCTCATTAAAATGGTTTGATTTGAAAATAATTTAACACAAATCGAACCGTATTCAACCTTGCCACATTGGATTGTGAATTCATATTGACTCATGGTTTAACAACGTTAAGAACAAATTTCGGGATTATATTTGTTTTTCCTTGATTAAGTTTATTGACCTAAGTCCTACCTAGATTCTTGAATCACATCATAGTATGACCGGTCGCAATGAAAAAAGTCGCACAAGGACATTCAAAGTAATGACATTCCTAGTGTCAGAAACGGTCAAACCATCATGCTAACATATCATTGGTCGGGATTGAATTTCTAGTGACGTCTAGTACCGAAATCTCTATTAGCTCAACCAATCACTTTTTTTTGCTCATGTGATCAAGGTAGACCTTTTCCTTGCATCAATTAGTCTCCAACATCTAAAAAAATTATCAATTTTATTAAAGGATTACTTATTTTATAAAAAAATTATGTCACAAATAACCATCTTATCAGTGTCGAAAAACAGGTGGAATGTGACTAACTGACCATTGTCTGATCGATTCGGGTCCCAAATAGGATAAAGTCTTAAAACACGTGTCAGCTTTTTAGCGAGTAGACTTGTCCAAGTGACATTGGTGGTTGTGCAATTGGTAAACAAAACCTCGATTCTGTCCAAGAAATGTTACTAATTTACTTTCACATTAATCACGCAAAGTACCAATTGGATAAACAAACAGGAATCTTTGCTTTTTGCGTCAAAAGTACTGACTTCTTGCTTCTAAAATCTCCGTAGGAAATGCTCCCAATCTACGAGTAGTACTGTAGTAGTATTCTTTTATGGCAGTTATTTCCTTAATTTACAAATCATTATCCTTTCTGTCCTTCAATTTGTTTCAATTTCAATTTAACTCCAAATTTAATAAGAATCAAATTTCTGGGTAAAGAAAAATACGGACCCACTAGTGGGTATCTGGTGCCAGAAGTGGGGTTGAGTGAGGATAAAGCTGTGTTTTTCAGGATGCATTTTGAGAGTTTGGGTTGATTGTGAAATGAGTTTGTGTCGATCGTGTGAAAGATCCAGAAATTAAGGTATGGAACCCCCAAGGGGGTTTTTGGCTTCTCTGTGGAACTTCATACGGTTCTTGCCTTACTTCATTGGCCTTCTAATTCTTGGCTTTATCAAAGGTTTGTATCAATTGCCCTTTTTTTTCCCCTGATTTTCTTATAGGAGTTGTTTAATGTTTAGCATTCAGACTAGGTATAGCTGTTCTGCTACATAAATTTTTTCCTGTTCTGTTACCCAGTTTTTTCATTCTTTCTAGCATGTATTGTTCAATTAANGACGATTTAACAGAAACTTAGACGATTTTCGTTTGCTTACTCGTTTTAAAACTTATTATTTAGAGTTGTACTATGTGTACTCAATGGTGTACACAATACTTTACACCCCCTCACATGGAAGGGGGCCCACGATTATTTTATTATGTGTGGACCCTCCTCCATGTGAGGGGGTGTAAAGGATTGTGTAAAGAATTATGTACACATAGCTTTATTCTTTTGGAATTGTTGGCACAAAGACTCATTTTATGTGGTATTCCGAACTTTGAGTTATTGTAGTCTAATCCTATAGCTGTTAAATTTTTCGATTGGTGATTGATTTGTCAAGGCAATATTTTTGTATTTGAGGACTTTATTTCTCCCATTTGGGTTAAAATACAGGAAAGTTTGTTAATGTTGTTTATTGCTTTTAAATACGGGCTGAACTATTGACTGAGTAGAAGTGTATTTGTTAATACAGTGTGCTAATATTAGCATTCAGCGTTACTAACGTTTCTAGGTGTATGGCATCTAAAGGTTTTTATTGGAAAAAGATGTATGCATGATGGAGAGTTTCACATTTTTGTGTTTCAGGTATCGTGTTATTCCCATTCGTATGTCTTATAATGATGATTGGGATATCTGGAATAATTTTGGGTCTTTGGCCCATACACCTTTTTTATACATGTTATTGCATTTTGAGGTACGTCCTGGAGCCTTCCAACTTTTATATTTGCTTACGACATTTATACATTGTAATTGAACTGATATCTTCTCGTTTCTTATAATTTCAGAACAAAACAATTTGGGCCAGTTTTGAAGGTTGTACTTTGCATATGTACTGCCGTCATCTCAATTTTATGGCCTCCAGTTGGAATTGTTAGTAGCATTTTAGGGGGAGCAGCATATGGCTTCCTTGCACCAATGTTTGCCACTTTTCAGGCAGTCGAGGAAGGGAAGACAGATAAACTTTATCACTGTATATGTGTACGTGTAAATTGTATTAAGCCTCTGTTTAACAACCATTAAAATGAGTTTTTTGGGAAAAATAAGTTTTGAAATAGTGATTTTTTGGAGGACGTGTGGTTAAAAAGTAGAAAAAGTTTGCCATTTACGTGCAGAATATTTTAAAGTGGGAATGTGAAGTTGAAAATGAGTTTGATAAAAAACGAGTTTTATTTTTATGGTTGTCAAATAGAGGCTAAGTCTTGGCGCATATTTTCTCCTTTTTTAGTGACTTCGAGGCACATTTTAGTCTGATCTTGTTTGATCATGCTTGCAGGATGGAACTTGGGACACAGTCGAAGGGAGCTTCACCATTATTAGGGATTTTATGGATGTTGGTTACCATTCGTACTTCTCAATTATGGATGATCTGTGGTCTGAGGGAAAATATTATGAAATTAGGTTTGTATTCCTTGCTTACTCATTCAGTTGATTTGAACTTCATATGCCATTGCTAGCCAAAGTTTTAGACGTTTATGGAGATTTTTTGAGTTAGACAGTGTTTCCTTGAAAGTTCTAGGTTGTTCCGATTTCATGTTTTTTGATATCCCAATTCTAATCAAATCTACACAATTTTTTACTTGAAAGTTCAAGGTTGTTCCGTGTTTAAACCGAGACAAATGGAGTAGAAAAAGAAAAGTTTCCCTATACCTTCACCTTGCCATGCGATGTTAAGGACTTCTATGTTGGGGGTTTAAATTGTCAATTATTGAATCACAAAAGATTCTAACTCAGCCTCTGTTTGGAAAGAATTTATATACAGTTTAGTTTATAAATAGATATGAATGAATGGTGGATAAGGGGATACTACTTGTGAGTCTATTGGAATGTGGGGTTGAAAATGAAGTTCATAAATAATTTATAAATTAGCCAAACGGAGGCTTGGTGATTTTCTATCAATTTCTGTATCTTCTTTTAGTGTTTCTGAGATTCCAAGAAATTTCATTTTCTCCTTGTTTTGGTGGAATATTGTAAATTTGTTCCGACGCTAACTTTTAGTCTTTTATCATAGCATTCCTCATTCATATTAATGCAACAGAAAAATAAATTCCTAACTTCATTCTAAATTTGGTCCTAACGGAAGGAAGATAAAAATGATGAACCTAAACAATAGTTTGTTTCATTACCCTGCACTTGACTCTGGTATTCGTTTTGGTAATATTTTTGTTGAACTCAATAAATTCTTGCTATGTGTCGCAGATTACTCTTTCTTCCTTTAGCTCTTATAATTGGAGTACTGGGAGCAATGGTTGATCTACCAGTGATCTCGATTATTTCCTTCTGCAAAAGCCCTTACATGCTTTTCAAGGGTTGGCATCGTCTGTTTCACGATTGTATAGGTCAAGAGGGGCCATTCTTGGAAACAATATGTGTGCCATTTGCAGGTCTCGCAATTTTACTCTGGCCATTGGCCGTTGCTGGGGCGGTTTTGGGTTCCATGGTTTCAAGTATCTTCTTGGGCGCTTATGCAGCTGTAATAGTGTACAAGGTTGAATTGATTTCCTCATCACTCCACCTCCAAAAACTAGAAACTAAATAACAATAAAATCATTTCATTCGCTTTTGCTACCGTTAAACTTTTAGTGTTGGGTTTTGATGGTAGGAGTGCTCTATTTGGTTTGGACTTTGTTATATTGTCGCTTCATTGTCCATTTATGACGAATACAGCAATGATGTTCTAGACATGCCTGAAGGATCCTGCTTACCTAGGTTCGACTTTTGCCTTGAATCTTAGTACACATTATTCTTTCAGAACATCAACTTATTGGCTACACGTGATGACATTGTCTTTGTGCCATTCCTGCAGACCACGTTACACAAAGAAGGCTCCATCACGTACGAGCTCCCGTTCTGCTTCTTTCCCAAGCCCCAGATCTTTCAAAAAGGCACCTTCACTTACAACTTCTCTTCCTGCACCTATGATTGAGTTGAAGCCCCTCGAGGTATGCTTACTGGACAGTATAATGAATTTTAGCTTCTTTTTCTATCTTAATGCTGTCTAATGCTTCTAATACACTTTAGCAAATAATAGTTATTCCAATATGTGATTTAACATTTATTACTTGAATTGGCGCTGATGAGCAATATGATTGTTGTAGTTAGCTGATTCCTTATTCAAGGAGTGTCAACGCCATGGGGAAATTATGGTTTCTAAAGGGACAATAACCCTAAAAGATATTGAGGAAGCTAAGAATAAGAAAGGAAGTGGAAAGGTCATAAGCATAGGTTTACCTGCTTATTGCATTCTTCAGGCACTAATAAACTCTGTAAAAGCTAATTCGACTGGTATATTGCTAAGTAAGTGGAAGCTTTTCTTTAAACATTTTGAGTTCTCCCATCTCAATAGATGAAGCAATTGTGTAAAATTTCCCACCCTCGTGCAGGTGACAATACCGAAATAACCACCTCAAATAGGCCAAAAGATGCATTCTTTGATTGGTTTCTTAATCCACTACTAATCATTAAAGACCAGATTAAAGCTGACAACCTCTCTGAGGAAGAGGAGGAATACCTTGGCAAATTAGTTTTATTGAGCAGCGATCCTGCGCGGTTAAATAATTCAAATATTGACCCACCTGATTCTGAGCTAAGACGAGCAAAACTTAATGCATTAGCTCGAAGGTAAAAGTGAATATTTTATGGTTTAAATTCTCTCAATTCATTAACCGAGATTTATGATTTGTCTTTCAGTACTCATTTATATTTCCATTTCTTTGTTCGT